TCTGCGTTGGGATCCGCCCAGGACACAGGGGGTTCGGGCAGGGTCGCGACCCGCTGCTGCGCGCGGCCGTCGACTCGCTGGCCCCGAAGCTGCCAGACCCGAGCGTCCTGAGCGAGGACGCCGCCATCGTGGTCACGCAGACCAAGCTCAACGAGGACATCGACGCCTTCAACGCACGCTCGTGGAGGGAGGCCGCCGAGCCCGTGGAGATAGTGCACGCCAACGCATTCTCAGCCCCTGGGGGTGGGCAGGAATTGGACATGGTACCATCAAAGACGCTTGACACGCACCTTTTGCAAGATGATTTCGCGACTACCGTCGCCCTTCGTCTTGGAGTCGACGTCATGGATGGGAACGTGCCATGCCCGTTGTGCGGCGAGCTGCTGGATTCTGGAGGGTTACACGCGCTGTCGTGCATGTCTGGAGGAGATGCCACAGCCCAGCACAATGGCGTGCGAGATGTGTACTTCGATTTCTGCGAGCGCGCCGGTCTCCGCCCGCTGAGCGAAGCGCCCCGCGTGCTGCAGGAGGTGCTCGGGCGTGACAACAGGCGGAGGCCGGCAGACACTCTGTGCATCCCCGCGCTGGCGTTGTCCAGGCAGCTTCTGGACGGATCTCGTGCAATCCGGACAGAACCAGTGTGCTTTGATTTCGCAGTTATCAGCGCCCTGGGCGCAGGCCACTGGCAAGAGACAGCTGCAGGGCCCGGGACAGCGGCGGGAGATATGACCAGAGGAAGCGGACAGACCAGAACACCGAGCGGCAACCCCCAAAAAAAAAAAGGCAAGGATAAAGCAAAAAAATAAAAGAAAGAAAAAAAAAAAAAAACACAAAGAACAAAACAAATAAACAACAGGCACAAAACAATAAAAAAAGCAAAAAGAAAAAACAAAAATAAACGAAAAGAAAAAAAAAAAAAAAAAAAAGAAAAAAGAAAAAAAAAAAAAAAAAAGTGCATTGCCGCGCCCGGCTTCCGATTCTGGCCCGTCGTCCACGAGGCGCAGGGCGGAATGGCCACGGCCGCCCACGCGGCGGCCCGGGCCATCGCGGCGGCGGTGGCGGCCAAGGAGCGCCGGGAGGCAGCCTCTGTCAGGCGAGAGTTACTGTCCCGCGTGGCGGCGGTAGTCGCACGCTGCACCGCCAGGGCTATCAAGAAGAGGACAGCCCCGAAGCTGGCGGGCAACGTGCCGACAGCCGTCCGGCAGATCATGCGGGACACGGACGCGCGCGAGGAGGTGTAGGCAGCCTGGCTGCCCCTCTCCCCTCCCTCCCTTCCTCCTCCCCCCTCCGCCCGATTCCTTATTATCTGATTGTCTGATTTCGCATTGGATTTTCGATTCGGCCGGTTGCGCCGCAGAGACAATCCCAAGTTGAGGGACGCCGGCAATTGTCTTGTTGCGCGGTCGGTCTGGTGTGCTTCTCGGCCCGCCTTCTGCCTTGCCTTGGCCCCGGCCCCCGGCTCCTCCCCCTTCTTCCCTCTCCCTTCCCCTTCCGTGTCGCCCCCTTTTGCCCTCGTGCTTCCTTGCCCTTGTGCGTTGTGTGCTCTCCCCCTCCCCTCCTGCTTGGCTTCCCCTCCCTGTCCCCCCGTCCGTCCGTCTGTCGGCCCGGTCTGTCCTTGCCCGTCGTCCTCTCTCCCTCTCCCCCGCCCCTTCTCGCTCCTCGGTTCCTCGCTCTCTTGCCCGTTTCTGGCCCTTCCTGGCCCGCTTTTCTGTGTCGGCCCGTCCCGGTGTCCGAATAAGAGCCGCGGCGCCGCGCACTGCTTGTGAACCCCTGTGTGCCCGCAACCCTGGCACCTGGGAGTGTACTTGTTTCTGCACCTCGAGATTGCCACGGCCCGACTCGGTGTTTCTTCGTCTCCGCATGACGTTCCCAGATGTCTTCAAATCGACGCCCAGACATCCCCAAACAGCTCTGATATGTCCAGTTCTGATGGAGAGGGGGCCCGCGGCAGAGGGCGAAGCCCTTACGGATAATCAAAGGAAGCTCAAATTCGCTCCTCCTCCTTCTCCTCCTAGGACGAAGGCCTCCTCCTCCTCCTCCTAAGACGAAGTCCTCCTCTTAGGACGAAGTCCTCCTGCTCAAGGATACCGAAATTGACTCCTCCTCCCCCTCCTCCTCGTCCTCCCGCTCCTCCTAGGACAGGGTCCTGAGGTGAGAGAGCGCCTGCGACGGGCACATCGCGCTCGAAATGCTCGAAACGGCTCTTGCGACCCCTTCGACGTCGACGCCCTCGCCGCCGGCGTGGCTCTGTGCGGTGTGGCCGCCCACGCACGGCTTCTCATCCGTTTCGTCCCGCACTCTTCAGGACACCGTGCGAGAAAACCGAGCCCAGCGCTCGAGATACTGCGCGGGCCACAACTGGGGAATCTCAAATCCGCCGCTCGGTGAAGAGACGAGGGCCAATCCGGTGAGACGCAGCATGTCATCGCGGCAGTTCGCGTACGACGCCCTGCGCACGTCACGATCACGACGCTCGAGGCTCGATGTCCCGGCGGGGGGCCACACCGAACGCTGTTGCTGCAGAAATCGAGGATCAGGAGAGGAGAAACAGGAGAGGGTGATGCGCGCTTCTGTTACGGGAGTCGGGGAGTCCACGGGAAGGGCGCATGCGCTCAGCGACGCCTTGGTCCGCGAGGCCAACCTCGCGTCACGAAAGCTCGCGCACTACGCGCCCACGGGACAGACATGAAACAGTGTACGCGCAAACTGTTCCTTGTGCTCCTGAAGTGAGAAAGGGCCGTCAAAGAAGTGCCGGCTGAGTGGGGGAAACATTGAGCTGGAACCGACCGGACATCGCCGATAGATCGGCGATATGCCCCCCTGCAGCGTTAGGTCGGGCGTGTCCTCCTACAGGCGGGTTTTGCACAACAGAAATTAGAGCATACTCCTGAATATCAAAGAATACCCAAGACCTGTATAAACAAAAAAATCGTCCTAAGACTATTTTCTAAAAACTAGTTTGAATGTTCCTCCTGTAGAGGGACGTGCCCGACGCAACGATAGCGAGCCCGCGCGTTCCCCTGCGGGGTGGGCTATCCGGCCCCTATCGGGGATCCATGGGCGATTGGGTGTTGATGCGTTCCCCTCTCTGAGCCTGTACCCCCCCCCAAAACCTTGAAGGGGCCCAAGGACACACACACATATAAATAGACACAAGTAACAGGATTCCCAATATTTCCCAATATTTTAGCGTTTTTTTGTCTTTTCCCTACCTAGGCTCTGCCTAGAGGGTTCTTACTCTATTAGCTTAAAGGGGCCGGGCAGTGGAAAGCGTCCCGGGCGGTTCCCCGGGCATCCGCCCCGCGGTTCCCCCAGTTACGTCCCCTTAGCTTAGCGTTGCTTATCTCATCTTAGCTTAGCTTATGTCGTCTTAGCTTAACTTAGCTTAGCTTCATCTTAGCTCAGGTTGATCTTAGCTTAGCTTACCTTCATCTTAGCTTCGCTGAGCTTTAGCATAGCTCAGCATAGCATGGCATAGCATAGCATAGCGTAGCATGTCATAGCGCAGCACAGCATATAATAGCATAGCCCAGCATAGCATAGCATAGCATAGCGCAGCACAGCACAGCACAGCAGAGCATAGCGCATTTTAGCATAGCATAGCATAGCATAGCTTAGCATAGCACAGCGCTGACTGGCATAGCATAGCATAGCTTAGCATAGCATAGCGCAGCATAGCATAGCATAGCTTAGCATAGCATAGCGCAGCATAGCATGGCATGGCATAGCATAGCATAGCAACTAATGCTGCTTTCCTAGGGGCTCCAACTTCTAGGTAGGGTCGCACTGGGGAAATTTGTTCACTTCCCATATTTTCGCATTTTCTCCTGGGAATCGACGATTCATCGTGTCTGTGTGTTTTTGTTTCCCTCCTGAAGCGTTGCCGCTGAGTGCACCCACGTGCGCGTGCGTCTCCGTGTCGCTCCTGAGGAGCAGGCGTGGGCGAAGAGCAGATCCGCATCCGCGGCCTGGCGTGCCCGTGCGGCCGCGCATCCGCGGGACCGCGCCCCAGAACCCAGACCGCGAGGGCGCGGATACGGATGCGGCGGGCTCAAAGGGAGCCCTGAAGCGGAAAACCCTGCCATCTCTTTGGGGGGCAGATTCTTACTTCCGCCGCCTTCCGCCGAGCTTCCGCCGAGCTTTCGCCGGTGCGGGCCGCCCTCGTTTTTCGGGGGGGCGACAAAACATCAATGTCACGCCGCCGCCGGGCCCCCAGGGCCCCATCGGCGCGTTACTCCCTCGTTCTTCGTCCGAATACGACAACGCACATCCACAGTAACACGCCGATGGGGCCCTCGGGGCCCCACGGCGGCGTGACATTGATATTCTTTCGTCGCCCTCCCGAGTTTGGCTTCCGCCGCCTTCCGCCGGCCTTCCGCCGCCGTTCCGCCGAGGAAGGGCTGCCAACTCCTCCGAGCCTCGAGGGCGAGGCCTTTCTGTCTCGAATGCAGCACGTGCCTCGTCGCTCGGACGTCCCTTCCGCGTGCATGCTGCGGCCTCGTACGCTTCTTCCTCGCAAGCGGACCCGAGAAACTCCTCGATTGGAGAGACCAAAAGGTAGCGATACTGCTGCCCTTCCCTCGTTTTCGCCTTTTTGGGCTTCCTGGGAGGCCCTCGTCGCCACGGCTGGATTCGCCTCGAAATGCTGGTCTGAACGCGCCCCCGGACCTCTCCTGGGGTGCGTTCTGACCAGAACTTCGAGGCGAGTCCCGCCGTGGCAACGAGGGCCTCCCAGGCCCAAAAAGGCGAAAGCGAGGGAAGGGAAGGGCATGGGCAGGTTGGAACCTGGGTTGCAACCTACGATGCAACCTGGGTTGTAACCTAGGTTCCAACCTGGGTTCCAATCTGGCTTGTAACCTAGGTTCTAACCTAGGACGTAACCTAGGTTGTAGCCTACCTTTCTCCTCCTCTGATCGGTGGCCCTCGCCGCGAACAAAAATGCACACGCCCGAGCGACGCCACGGCGCTCGCCGCGCGTGGCGGAGGGGGGCGCCCGCGTCCTCCGTGAGGGAGGCGATGTGCCCTGTGGTGGGCAGCGGCAGCTCTGAGCCGTCCGGGCCTCGGCCATCGGGCACCGTCGGGGCCGCGGCTCTTCGCCCCGTGGGCCCTAGAAACGACAGGTTTTTTTTTGTTTATCGGTTCTATTTAGCCGTTTTCTTTGCCGGTTCCGACGCCGTTTTTTCACCGGTTCCATCGCCGTTGGTTTCCCGGTTCCGGCTCCGGTTCCAGCCCTGGAGCCGTTTTTTGGCCGGTTCTGGTTGCCGTTTCTTTGCCGCTTCCATTCTCAAAATGCGTTCTTTCGAAAACGGTGGAAAAACGGCCCTGCCGTGTCCGGGGACCACTATGTTCGCCCTCCCCCCCCCACCCCCGCTTGTTGACTACCTCGGCAGGCGAGCGAGGTGGGGAGGAGAGAAGCAGAAGCCCTTCTCAGAAGGCGGCGGGGCTTCTCAGAGGCCCTCGTGCCTTCGGGGAGGTTTTCTGCCTTCAGGGGAGGCGTAGGAGACTTCTCAGGAGGCCGGGGGACTTCCGAGCCTTCTGAGGAGGCCCGCCCCAACCCAACCCAACCCGAAGACCCAAATTTCGGGTTAGGGGGGGCACGGGTTCCACATGCGTTTTGTCAATGTTCCCGGACGCCCCCTCCCACCACTGGAATTGGAGGGCAAATCGGGGCCTTCGGGTTGGGTTGGGGTGGTTTGGTGGGCGGTGCTTTGTTCTGTGGCAACGAACGGGAGCCTCCCGTACCATCTTGCTTGCTCCTGCGAAGCGTAACCGCCCCGATACGCAACACGCATCCCGTAGCGTGTTGACACGGGGCTAAACACGCAGACTGAAGACGCAGGTCTGACGCGGTACGTTCGCCAAAACGTGGTCCTGTACGTGGAGCCAGCACGCAACGTATCGACAAGAACGTTTTGAGCACGGTACGTGTTGCGTATCAGAATGGGCGTAGCGAGGCAGCTAAGCTGCGAAGCGAAGCTCACCGACGCTGACCGACGGCAATCGACGCTAACCAACGCTAAATCGACGCCCATCGACGCCGAATCGGCGCTCTCTCATCGACTACCACGCGCTGGCGCACGCTGGTGCACTCAAAAAATGGGGCTACGAGGACACACGAGGCTCCCACGATTTGCTGCCGAAGCCCTGCGCTCGCGACGGGCTCCCGCGGCTGTGCCCGCCAGGTCTGCCCCCTCCTTTGAGGGGGACGCGATAGGGGGAGTCTGCGAGGCCCGAAGTTTGGGAAGACGAGTTCGTCGATTCTCGTGGGGGTGCCTTCCAGCGGCTGAACCTCGCCGAGAGCTTTCCGTGGGTGCCCGGATCGACCCGAACGGCCGCCAGAAGCCCGAGTTGTGACCCGAAAACCACCAGGAGACCGGCTCAGGGGTGGAAGCATCGACCTGGAATAGGCGATACCAGCGAAGCCGCACGTTCCTTGGCGGGGTGGGCGGTCAGGGCGCTATTGGCGGCGCATTACGGTGATAGTCACTGCGGCGATCGAAGCCCAAGCATGAAATGTAGTGTGGGGAATTTCAAATTGGGCTTTGTTGCATCAAGAACAAGATCGGAAAGATGGACAGGACAAAAAAAAAAAGGCAAAGAAGTGCAGGGGCAGCAGCCCAAATGAGAGAAATGACGTCGTGCCCTGAATTCAATGTTTTTCTCGGAGTCGACATAACGATTACGTGTTAATCCAAATCGTTGTCATGTGTGTTGGGCTCGGTTCTGGCGCCATCGCGGAACTTTCCGTTAACCAGCGTCGCTGCTTACTTCGCGTTTAAGACGGCTCGAATGCCCCGCTTGGGCCCCGCCGTGGAATACACATGTGAATATGGTCAGTGACGTTGCTGATAAAACACGTGCCCGAGAATGTGAACTAGAACCACGCGCGCGCTTCGCGCGCGCTTCGCGCGCGCGTAGGTTCTAGCGGAAGCCAAGGCGTTTATCGAACAAGCTCCTTCCACGCCTTGCCTTACCGCGTCTTCCAATATTCATTAAATCCTTCCTCGCTGATCCTCCGGTCTCTTTCGGTTGTACTCGCTTTCCGCCTCTCGCTCTAATTGACGGCGTGCTCCTGTTGCGGATTATGCGGAACTTCCGAGCTGTTCAGGTCCAGCGTGGGGCGACATTGAATATGAAGTGAGCTAGCTTGGAGTGTAGGGGTGTCTCGAAGATCTTCCCATTAGGGCTGCCTTGAAAGCTTGGGGGCCAGCTAGAAGCCGTGTTGGGCTCTTCTTCGAAGTTGTGGGGCCGCCCCTCGGGGCCATTTGAAGCGCTCCCGCAGCCATCCGAAGCAGAAAAACGTGAGATTCACCAAGAATGCAAACACCTAAATTGCTTCTGCGATTTTGGCTCTTTGGGGGGGTCTTTTTGGGGGTCTCTTGGGAGCTCCACTGGGGCATCTTGTGGCCCCAGGGGGTGGCCGCCTTGGATATCTTGGAATGTCTTGGGCCACCCTGGGCCGGCTTGGCGGCCAGCGGGAGTCCTCCTGAACCAGCTCTGAAGCCTCTAGAGGCCGAAAAAGGCACTCGAAGGCCCCAAGGCGGGTCCCAGAGCCTGGGGGAGGGAAATTGGGTTGCGATGGGGGGAGTTTAGGAGAAGTGGGCCATCCCAGGGCCAGGGACGCGGTCGTCGGTGCACAGAGCAAGGTGGATTCATAGCACACGGTTAGGTGCATGGATGGACAAACTGAACACGTGGCGCGGGGTTACGCCGCACTCACAGAGACATGCGCTATGATCCTTGATTGCGTAATCCACGGAAAAAGCGAGCAACGTGAGGAGGAGTAAGAACGGCAGGAGGAGGAGGGATGTGAGGAGTAAGGCGGGAGGGGGTGGAAAGAGCGGGGGAGGAGGGGGCAAAAGGCGCTGGACGTTCCACTGAAGCCCCGCGAAGCACCGGGGGGCAAAGTCGAGATGGTGACGTCAAGCCCCCCCATCGTTGTCTTCCTTCTCCATTTCCGTCTCCTCCCCTTCCTCCTCCTGTTCCTCCTGCTCCTCATCGTTCTCCACCTAATCCCCCCTCCTCAAAACGCCGGAACAGCCAAACTGATTCCACGCAGCATGGGGCGACGAATGAAGTTACAACGCGGGCCGACAGTTTTCAACGGAGCCCGCACGAGACACTCTCATTTCCCTCATTTACCAATGGCATTCTCTCACTACGCTCAGGACCTCTCCCCCCCACGCGTCTCGACCTCTCCACCCTCTTCTTGCTCCCCATTCTTTTCTGGGAAGGGGCGGCCAACCGCCCTTCGACACGCACCCAAACGTGAACATTGACAAGGTATCCAGATAGCGACGCATCGCTTGGCGCATACGTCCTTGTGTGGTCAAAAAAACCCGAGGTTGCGTGCGCAACGCGTAGCGGATCTACTCGCTGCCCCTTCGAGAAGATTCTACAACGGGACATGACATGACGGAGACGCATCAGCCTGGCGCGCACTTATCTGGTCGATTGTCCAGAGGTCTGCACTCAAGGCGGAGCGAAACAGACGATCACCTCCATAATAAGTAGAAGTGCGTTTCTTCCGAAGCCTCCTGCGATGGGTATCACCAGTCGAGAAGGATCTGGGTTACGAAACGCTTGCGTTGCTAGCACTATATGCCAGGCCCTACGCTGGCGCGACAGAACACGTTCCCTATACCACTTGGGCGGTAGACGCATCACCCGCAAAAACTTATCGGGCTGGCTCATCGGTGGTGGCAAGGTTAGTTCGGACACGAACTATGACCATGCAAATGCAACGTACGAACTTACCAACGCAAGTAGCAACATTAGGAGGGGATGGGGTTACAGAGTGGGGCCCTTTGGGCTATCTCTTGGAAATGTCGTCAGGGCCTCTTGGGCTGTCCGAGCGGTTTCCTTGGCCGCCATGGGAATCTCATGGGCCGTCCTGATGCTGAGTTCACAGGGCCGCTTTCGGGCCTCTTGGAAGACTCTTGATAAGCTCTTCAGGCAGGTGCAAATCCCACCAGCCCTGTGGTCGCAGGAGGTCTAGCGATATCGTTCATTCCTCTTCTAACACCCTCTTTCCTTCGGGCAGGGGTACCCTCCCCCTCCCCTCTCTGATGTTGTCTGGGGGGTGGGCGCGAGCGGTCAGAGGGACGAAGATGGCCCCGAGAGTTTCCCCGATGCCCCAACATGGCCTCCAAGATGCCTTTTGGGGGGCGCTCTTGGAGGGCTATTTGAAAAAATGTTTCGTATCTCCTGGAAGGCCCCTCGGCAATCGTTTGTCATAGTTTGAGCCTCCATGGGGGCCTTTTTCTATTTCTAGCGGGGGGGGCCTCGGGCGTTCCTGGGGCCTCTAGGAAGCATGTCGGGGCCCTCCTAGCGGTCTCGGGGGCCGTCTTCGGGGGCGGAACCGCTCTGTAAGTACGGGTCACCTCTTCGGCCCCTCTTGGGGCTCTCCTGGAGCACTCGCCTTCTGGGCCCTCACAAGACGGCCCAAGAGGCCGCCTCTTGGGCCGTCTTACGAGGTGTTGGGGGGCTTCTTGGGGGCCTCTTGGGGCCTCCTCGGGGCCTCTTGGGGCGGAAGGATCGAATTGTCGGTTCGTGTTGCCCCTCTTGGGGCCGTCCTGAAGCCCTCTTGGGCCGTCTTGGGCGTCTCTTAGCCGTTTGGGGGTCCTCTTGGGCTGCCGTGGGGGTCTCTAGGGCCATGTTGGGGCGATGTTGGAGGCTTCTTGGGCAATCTTGGAGTGTCGGAAGCTCGAAAACGCGAGAACGCGAAAGTCATTGAGAAACACACTGAAAATCAGTGATTTGTGCCTCTTGGGGCCTTCGTGGAGGGCGTCTCGGAGCGCCCTTGGGGCCTCTTGGGGACTTCTTGGACCATGATGGGGCCATCTTGGGCGGCTTGGTGCGCTCTTGGGCCGTCTTGGCGGCCTCTTGCCGTCCCCGGAAGCCATGGGGGACGCCAAGAGCTCCCAGACGCCCGGGACAAAATGGGTACCAGGGGAAGGGGAAATCCGGGAGAGTGTCCCGGCCCTGGCTCTGGGCCCCTGGCTCCCCAGTAGACGGTATACAATCCATATACAAGAACACATTGCGATATGGGCAGCA